CGCCCACCTCCCCGCAGATGGCTAAAGCTGACAGGAATCAACAAGGCTCCCCACCCCCCCAAACCCCCGCCAGGTCTCCCAGGCTCCGCAGGTGGTCTTTGGGGGGTTCAAAGCCTGGGCCTTGAAGGAGGAGGGCAGGACAGGGGCCGGACTGTTGCAGACTGAGCTTTTGGTGAGGGACAGAGGGCCCTGTTTCCCAGGAGGGAACCTGGTGGAGCAGGCTCTCCTAGGGGGTGCGGACAACAGCAGTTTGGCAGAGCTGTGGGGGGCTGGGAGAGGCTAGGGTCTCTGCCAGACATTACAGGCTAGAAAATGCAGAATCTCACTGCTCATTGTCCACCTCCTTCCAGCCAAGGGCCCTGCCTCCTACCGCGGTGCTGCCCTGACCCCCTTCCCCAGTGCTGCTGACTCGCCCCCGCTGGCACAGCAACACACATGCGGGAGGCACACGTGTGAGCACCAAGCCCCGCACCTCCCAGTAGAAACATGTGCGTCCCCCGCCCCCACCGCCCAGCGCTGAGTCGGTGCCCTGGACCCCCGGCTGGGCCCCACGTTGCGGCTTGGAAGCTAGATCTTGGCTGGGGGCTACTGGCCCGCAGGGGTTGGAGCCCCCTCCCCCACTCGGCAGCCCCGCCCAGCCCCCTCCAGGTTGTCGCCCATAAAGAACTCTCCGTTGTCATGGAAATTAGTGACTGCTTTGTGGGAGGGAGGGGGGCGGGGGCAGTTGGGAGGGGCAGGAGGCGGCTCTGGGAGTCAGAAGCTACCCCTCAGCCCTCGGCCCCTACCCCCAGTGGAGCACCACGAATGTCCGAGGGTTAAGATGCTCACATTTAGGAGCCTTGCAAGACTGGGGGCAAGGGGTGGGCAAGGTGGTGGTGGGGACAGGAAGAGGAGATTTGCCTGGTCTTGAATCTCAGAGGCTTCCCCTGGGACCCCCGAGCCTTCAGGGGTGACAGGGAACTTTAGCCCAACCCCGCACGCCGCCCCCTGAATCTGCAGAGCCCGCGTGCTCTGCCCTCTCCGGGGCCCCAAGCCCTCGCGGGGCCCCCGCACATTCGGCGACCCAAACCTCGAGCCAGAGACCCAATCCTTCAAGACCCCACGATGTACGTTCGGGAGGCGCCCCCCGCCCAGCCCGCCCCGCACCTGCAGCGCCGGTCGATCACAGGGAGGAAGCGATCGCGACTTCAGTGGGGGCACCGAGGGCTCCGGGGGCGGCGGGGAGAATCTGCTCCGGGCACGCGGGTCAGACGCGGCGCCAGCTGCAGCCGCTTTGGCTCACGAACCTCCAGCATCTCCCGCCGCTCGCCCGCACCGGATTTGCACCCCGGGCCGGGGGCGGGCTGGGGGCGGGGCTTCTCTCAACTGGCTCCGCCCCGTCCCTGGAGGAGCCGGAGGCTGGAATCCCACCCCAACGCAGGCGGACAAGGGAGTGGTAGTGGAGTCGATGAGCGCTGACCTGCCTGGCCCCGCCAGGCTCTCAAAGGCTCCCTTAGGCCCTGGGACTGACTGGGCAACAGGAGTCGGGAGGGCCTTCTTCTTACTCCCATTGTAGAGACTGGGGAGTGGGAAGTGTGAGGAAAGCCTGAGTCCCAGACCAGCACAGGAGTCTCTTGGCAGGTAGTAACCCCTAGGGGACCCGTGCTCTGCCCAGCTCCCAAAACATGACCCAAAGGGTGGAACTCGCTTAGAAAAACCAAGTAAGCAGTTGCTAGGGTAAACCGCACCACAGACTAGCATCCCCTAGCCAGGAGTAGTAAACACACCCGGGGGGGCATGTTGTGTGTGCAAGAGGTGTGTGCAAGAGGTCGGTGAGGGCTCCAGATCATGGTGGCAGAGTCTCCTTTCCAGCCCAACCTCCACTCCCGCAAGGCCAAAACCTTTTCCATCACCAAGTCCGAGTCAGGGGGTCTGGCCCAGTCTGCCCCTCCTTTGTAGCACTAAATTTCCTAAGCTATAAAAGTCACCTATGGCATGGTGTGGAATCTGCTTTCTTCTCAGCTGTATCAGCTTCAGACACTTCATGAGCAGCACCACCATCAGAGGCGTGGGCTGGGATATGGGGATACAGGAAAACTGGTCCATAACCACACCTGTCCTCTGACTGGAGGAGGCTGCAAACTGGCAGGCAGAAGCTCTAAAGGAGGTCCTTGGCTATTTCTCTGTCCCTTGTCAGGCAGGTGCATGGACCCATTGCTTGCTCCGCTTCCCTTCACAAGCCCTGAGGCCAGTATCTGAAGGCCAGACTTAAGCTTCTCAGTGCCAGCCCAACCTTCCTAGTTAGCTTTCTGACCCCATCCTGGGTGGGGTCCTCTCCAAACTCTTCACCATGTTGAGTGAGTCTCTCCTGCATGACTCCCCAAGCCCGCTGGCAGGAATGACTGCCCAAGAGAGGAAGCTGGGGCTGGGGCTGGAAGGCTATCCTGGGAAACGACTGTTCAAACAAGGCCCCTCAATACCTTCCTCCAGAGGGGGTATTGAGGAGCCCTTTACATCCTTCCCTGGCTTTGGGTCACCTGTTCCAGGTCAGGCTGGTGCCACCTCTGGGTGGTCTCAGTCCTGGCACCAGCTCCACCAGTGAGTAGGAATCTCCTGGCACGCTGAGCATCTGCAGCGCAGAGCCTGTGTCTCATCTCGGTGTACTCAGTTCATGTCTGCAGAATGAATGAATGGCCCGGCACTCAGTTCCCACCGTCCTTGAAACACTGGTTCTCTGAGTTGTATGGTGTAGCTGAGCCGTGGCCTGCTGACCTCACACATGTCACACACATTTTCTGTCTTTCCCAAAGGTCATGGATACCCAGGCATGGAGAAACTGAGCTGAGGAGAGGCTGGAATGGGGGATTTAGAGGTAGGGGAAGAGGTGACTTGCTAGAGCCCTTCCTGCTGCTGGCAGTGCTCCACCTTTTCTTGGTCCTGTGCACACTCCATGTGCCTGTGGATGAGAACACGTGGCAGGGTGTGCATGCACACGTGTGAGTGTGTCTCTGTGTGTGCGCTCTTATGCTGAAGGAAAAGGCGACAGTACAGTGTGTGCAGTGGTGCCCAGGGGCACGTGTGTCTGGATTCTGTGTGCACCCAGGCGTGCTTGCTCGCACGTGCACATGGATGCTGTAACTAGTCCCTGGAGCTAATGGTCCCTGGAGACACTGGTCCCCGTCCTGCCTGGCACAGGCCTCAGCACTGTGGAGACTGAATCAGGATGGGAGGGCAGGACATGGGAAGAGGCTGGGTCACGCCCAGGGGCAGACAGGGGCTGTGATTATCCTGTGTCATTGGCTGTTTCTAGTCTCTCCAACTGAGGCAGCCCCTCACTCCCAGGTGTGTGTGTGCGTGTGTGTGTGTGTGCGCGTGCGGTGTGATGGGGAGGTGTAGCCAGGTCTTTGCCCTTTGTGGAGAGGGTAACCTAAAGATGAAAACCTAGGATTGGAACTGGTTCATGGCTTGTCCCTCAGCCCCCAGCCAGAGAAGCACGGGCAGGGCAGGGTTCCATCGTCTTGGCTTCGATCTCCAGCTGCCCTCTGATCAAGAAGTAGCAATACCAGCTGAAAGCCATCCTTTCAGCTTTCCTAGACCATGGACTGTGCCGACAGTGCTTCATTCCTATCCCGACTCTCAGGGCCAGACAATCTGGGGCCTTGGCTTCTAGCCACCCCCTGGCTAGAGGATGGCGGGAGACCGTAGCACAGGGCAGAGTCTGGGATAAGAGCGGGGTCAGTTGGCACTGGCATTGCCTGGTGACCTCTATGAGGGCCTCCTGAGGAGGCCTGTAGCCTGACCCCGATGTGGGCGGGGGCTGCCTGGGTTGAGAGGCTGAAGAGAGAAGGGAACCCAGAGTTGGCTGTTCTGGCTCCCACCAGAGCTAGACGGTCCTAGAGGGCAGGACGAGGTGCGAAGCTTCGTATCCACAGAGCCTACAGGGCAGGCCAGAGCCTCATCTCCCAGTTCAGGTTGTACCTCCACCCCCAGAAGCCAGGACTTATCTGCCCTCCTACCCTGATTTCCTGCCCCAGGGTAGGCCAGTACTCCCATACCTTCTTATTCTGTCTGGTGGACAGAAGCCCCTGCCAACCTAGCACAGAGCTCTCCAGGCAAAAATCAGACTTTAGGAGGTACCTACATTACCAGGTCAGTTCCCCCAAGAAGCCCAGACTCTGACAGGAGCTGCCTCTTGGGGGCAACAATGCTCCAGGCCCCCAGCCATCTTTGAAACTGTTGGGCTGTTATCTATGTTGCTGGCCTCAGCCCCCCGTAGAGGGCCCAAAATGGGGGAGGGCAAGTAGTCTTCTCCTCTGGAGCTAGGGGAGGGGGCTGCCCCCCCTCGTGACTCACTCCAGGCTGTGTGGGTTATTACATTATGTTTGAAATTGCCATGGCAACCAGCTGGCAATCAAGGGTAATTGCGCTTGTCGCCAGGGCAACGGGGCAAAACCCACAGCAGCCACTCTCTGTGTTTGCCCTTGGGGTGCAGTAAAGGTCAGGCTAGACCAGAGCCAATGCCAAGGGGCTCTGGGGCTCTCTAGAAAGGATAGAATTGCCAGGACCCATAGAGTTCCAGTGTACAGAGGCAGGGTGTGCCTTAGGAGTGCCAAGGCCCCCATCCCTGACCCCGTGCCAGGATACCTGCCCTTTCCACACCATCCTGGGCCTAAAACATGCCACAGAGCTCAAAGCAAGCAGAACCAGAACTTTTATGTGCTCACAGATGGTACTTGTAGATGGCCCATGGGCCTTCCTCCTCGTACTCACGGCGGCTGAGCCATAGGCTCTGGAAGGAATCCCGGGACACCATGATGGAGCCTCCAAGCCAAGCGGCAACAGCACGGTGGGGAGAGGCCAGCACAGTGGCACAGGGGCCCAGCTCCTGTCTCAGACGCTCAGGAAAGCCACTCACCAGGGTGCTGCCACCATCCAGCACCACGTTGGCCAGCAGCTGCTCCTGCTGCTTGGCCTCCAGCCGGCTGATGCTTAGGAGGGCTAATTGTGGGAGGCCTGGCTGGTTGAGGCCTAGCAGATTGGGCTGGAAGAGGGCCTCAGGGCAGCGGAAGCGCTCAGAGCCTAGCTTGATGACCTGCTTGTCTGGAAGCACAAAGTCTACCCGGGCCTGGGTCTCAGCGTGGGCCATCTCGGTTGCCATATCCCTGGTCACGTAGCAGCAGGCCTCTTTAATCTGGTTGACCAGGCTTGCCTTGGGCGGTGAGTGGCCTCCTGCCAGCAAGAGCTGAGCCAGGTATTCGGTGAGATCAGCACCGGCCACATCCAGCCGGTAGGTGTCAAGTGGGGCTAGATCCCCAGTGAGGATGGGTGCCACATAGGAGGTGCCATGGCCGCTGCCCAGCACCAGCCCAGTGGTGCGCCCGTAAGCATAGAGTGCCAGCAGGGCCTGATGCACTGTCTGCATGGCTGGCACGTGGAAACACTCAAAGAGTATTTCAGCCACCTTTTCTCGGTTGGTACGCGGTGAGATGGGTGAGTCGGCCACAAGCACTGCCAGCTCCTCGGGCTGCATGCCCAGGCTGCAATAGAACAGATGCTGCCACAGCACCTCCAGTGCATCCCAGTCAGAGACTACTCCTCGATTCAGCACCGAGCAGGAGCCCTCTAGGTTCTCGGGAACCACATACCTGGGCTGGCCCTGGACTGACTGCTGCAGCAGCTGGACACGTGAGGGCACCACGCTGAGGACGTGGTCCTCTCCAGCCAGTCCACACTTGGTGAAGCCCGTGCCTGTGTCAATCACCACAGCCGTCATGTTCTGGTAGGGGCCCAGCGAGTGGCGACAGAGCACTGGGGACTGTACTGGCAGATCATCCTTGGTGGGCACCAGCTCATAGCAGGCCCCGCGAACCAGGTCAAGGTGTGTGACCATTGATGAGCCTGGAATGTCTTTAGCTGTCAGCTTGAACTGAGAACTCTGGGGCTCGGTGCTCACCATGGCCATGGGCAGGACCTTGCAGCCAGTGCCAGGCGTGGTGAATGTGATCAGAGGGAGCTGCTCCTCTTGGGCCCTATGAGAGCTGCCAGGTTGCCAGGATGAGAGCCGATGTGTGCTGGAGCTAGTAGCAGCACCGGTGCCCACCTTTTCACTGCTCACATAGACGCAGGTCTTTCTGGGAGCCAGGGACCCCCGAAGTACCCCCACATGGGTGGGCGGACGCAAGGGCTCACCTTTCTGGCGTGGGACAGAGGCCTGGCCAGGCTTCCTGGTGGTGGTGGTGGGGCCTCTTGAAAGGATGGGCTCTTTGGAGATGGGGGGTTCTTGGGGAAAGAGAGGCTGCCCAGTGAAAGAAAGCTGCCTGGCAAGAGGGGCTCCAGGGAGAGGGGGCTGACCAGGAAGGGGAGGCTGCTTGGTAGAGGGGGGCTGCTCAGCTAGGCATAGGTATCCAGAAAGGTGGGTCTGCCTGAGAAAGGGCCACTGCTCAGAAGAGGGGGGCTGACCAGTTGGAGGGGGCTGTCTAGCAAGGGGGTGCTGCTCAGCTAGTGGGGGCCAACCATGAAGGTGGGCCTGCCCAGCACCTTCAGCCAGAGGGTTGTCAAGGTGAGCAGTAATGACCTCTTTCTGGTTGCGCCTGCCTATACCCCCCTGGGGCAGGGCTCTGGGTGCCTCCTGGGGTTTGGCTGAAGGAAGAGGCTCATGAGTCTGCTCTGCATTCATCCACTGTGGTTGCTTGGCCTGGACCGTTGGAGTGTCCGGCATCCCAGAGGCATCCAGCATCCAGATGGTGCGACTAAATTCATCATTTTCAGCATCAGGTTTGGACCAGCCAGGATGATGGACATGGCTTATTGTCCTCTCACCGAGTTGGAGGGGCATCCCCAATGGAACAGGCCTAGTGAGCATCCCCCGCCTGATGGGTGACTCAGTACCAGGGGTGACTTGTGACTCCAGGTTGAGCCTAGCCTCCTTGGGAACCAAGGCCACCTCTCGGTAGCTGCCAGATGAGAGGCTAGAGGGCACGGGGCTGGACAGCATGGCTGAGGTGGACCAAAAGCTGGAGCGATTTCTGTCAGGGGAGAAAACGGGTGTTGCCAATGGCCGAATGGACTGCATATTTTCAGAAGCATGGATGGATGGGTGGTTGGGCATGAGGCCCACCAGAACTGCCCGTGAGCCCATGGGGTCATGGCACATCAGCCCCATCCTGGTGTTGCCCGTGGCCATATCAAACACCAGCACGTGGTCTTCCTGAGTGTCCCAGAGCTGGCAAGTAGGGGCACCAGAAGGGGCGCTCTGCATGGCTTCCCTAGGAGCCTGGACTGGGCACTGCGTGTGGCCGATTACTTGGTCAGCAGAGAGTGGCACACTGGAGCAGGTGTTGTCACGAACATTAAGGGGCTGCTGCACTGGCTGAGAGCAGTGGATATGGCTGCTCTTCAGGGACTTGGGAGTACCCGGGGTTCCTGAGACTGCTGTGGGGTTGCCTGGCCTGGAGGTTTGGATGAGGGGTTTCTCTGCTGGGTTTTCAGGCTGCTCGGGTCCCACCTGCTTTCTGGCAACCTCAAGCTCCTGGGCATGGTCTGGGGACTCTTTCGCAGTGGCTGCTGGGGTGGGAGGCTCCTCCTGAGAACAGAAATTCATTTCGTCCTGGCATTGGTTGCCACACGTCTTGAGCAGGTCATCATGGGACAAGCTCTTGGTGATGGCAGTGCTTTCAGTCAAGTGGTCGGGGTTGCAGGTGTAAGGTTCAACCTCTGCTGGCATTGGTATCGGATCCAGAGCTGGAGTATTTGTCTCAGGTGGAGTTGGAGGAGCCTGAGCTGGATACAGGCATTTGCCCTGGCCCTGATCTTGGGCTGGAGCCAGAAAAGGACCTTGGGCTACAGCTGAGCCATCCTCTGCTGAAACGAGGCCGGGTAGCCACTGGCTCTTCCTAATGCCCAAGGGAGTTTTCTGGTCAGGCTTGCAGGGACCTTTGCCCCAGCCTACCAGGACTTTCGCGGGAGCCTTGCTCTCCCTCGCAACCTGCACCTGAAACCAGGAGCGGCATCCGTGCTGGACCATGTCCCTGGTGCTGTCACCGCGCGTGAACAAGGGTAGGGCCAGGGTCTCATTATCCATGACGAGACGCACTTGGGCTTCCGTGGTGGGGCTTGGAAACAGGCTAGTGGAGGAGAGTCTTGGGGCATCCTGGGAGGCCCACTCATAGCCACAGTGAGAGCTAACCTCAGCAGGGTCCTGGGGTAGCTGGTGAATGGGCTCAGGGATGTGGGCCTGGGAGGCTGGGCCACAAGCCCCATCAGTCATGGCCTCAGTGGACAATGGCAACCCCTGCCTGAAGTATCTGGACCCTGAGTTTATCAAAGGTCCCTGGGACTCTCTGAGGCCACCCCCCAGCTGCTGGCTGCTGGCTGAGGGGTGGCCCTGGGGGCCCGATGGATCAGGGCCCCCCACCTTCTTGGTGACTTCCATAGTCCTACTCCATGCTCTAGGTGCCCTGCCCCCACTTCGTTGCCATGGCAACTCCACACATCACAGCCCCCAGTGACCTGGGGAGGTGACAGAGTGTGGGAAACCAGGGGCCCCACTCCCTTGAGAAATGGGGGCCTGCCTAGGGAACCCTGGGAGATAGAAAGGCCCAGGGAGCCTGCCAGTTCTAGGCCTGCCTCCTCTCCCCTTACCAGCCATGTGACCTCTCTGCCCAGGCCAGCTGTAGAGTGAGGGCAGTGCCTTGGGAGGAGGGGGCTAGTGTAAGGCCAAGGGAGGAAGGTAGGCAGGGAAAAGATGAGGAGGCCCCTGGGTTCCCGGTCTATCTCAGGTGCCACACTGGGCTCTTTCTCCGCATTTCCCATGTGGCAAGTTGAGACTAAGCCCTGACCGAGGGGCACAGCTACAGGTATGTGACACGAGGCCCTTCACGGGAGTCAAAGACCCTTTACCACTCAGTCCTGGGAGGTAGAAGAGGGTGAGGGGCCCAGGCCCAGGCCCAGGCCCAAGCTCCCCTCCCGCATGTTCCTCGGCTCCCGCTCCAGGGACAGCAGCTCCCTGGCAATCTTTCTGCTCCAGATGGTTCTCTGCCTGTGCCTCACATAGCCCCCTCCCCAGAGCCACATGTCCTTGAAACCTAAGACCAGTATCCCACAGAGGTGGAGATGGGGACTGCAAGGGTGGGGGTGGGGCCTCAGCTCAGAATTCTCAAGTCAGAAGGTTCTAGCTCTTGTTACATCGTGTCAACTTCACCTTGGCCAGAAGCGGGACAGATCAGTGAGCGTAGGACTAGGCCACAGTAAACATGGTGCCAGCCAAGTGGCAATTACAAGATGGGACACAGTAGTGACATAGTGGTTACGGGGTTGTCCACACAGCGGGCACAGGGCTGGTCCCCAGTGGGGCATGGTGGGTGTAGGACTGGACACGCGGCATGCTCAGCTACAGTGAAGACAAGTTGGACAAAGGACTGGACACAGAGTGGGCGCCCTAGCTATTAGACCAGGTGGGCAGTTCCAGCCTCTATTTCTTAAGTGAGCAAACAGAGGGTCACGGGGAAGTGGGACCTGCCTAGACCATCAGCCCAGGACCAGACATGCCCCACAACCACAGAGGGCCGGCCTGGGCAGCAGTTTGGGGAACTGCCCGCTGCCAAAGGCCTGGGACTGGAGGTTCCCACCTGGGGCGGGGCAGGCCCTTCTCCCTTCCCCCAGCTGTGAGCTCGGCCTCTTCCCTCTGTCTTCTAGGGCTGTGTCCTTTTAGCCCTCAGTCTTTCCACCCAGGAAACAGGTTTGTGGAGAACGCAGCTGTAGGCTTGTCCTCTGAAGCCACATGTTTTCACAAAGGTTAAAAATAGTGCTTACAGTTGGCCGTGGGGTGTGAAGCGATGTGACCAGGGACCAAGGCTAGCTCTGTGCTGCGTCTGCACCTTCCCGACTCAGCACTGGGCAGAGCCTGACTCAGCCAGGTTTCAGGACCCCAGGGCCCCCTCCCCCTTCCCCAGATTCTGCCTTCAGTTAAGAATGGGGACAGATGTCTCTGGACACTGCTGCTCACCACACACCATGCCCTGGGAAGGTGGCAGAGCCCAAGGGTCTGTGGCCTGCACCTGTGTGCATGCGCACACACACATACTTGCTGAATACTTCATTAATCTCTGGCTCTGAGAAAATCGGTTTTGGGGGATTTTCTTTTTCTCACAGTAGAAACAGTATTAGCAGCCTCTATGGAGCGCTTGAGATGAGATGCACCAGGGAGGGCAGCGGGGGCATGGAGGGAGGCCCCAGAAACCCCTTGACTGTCCAGCCACTGAACCTTCCCCCAGCTCCTGCAGAAGTGGGCTCGATCCTCTTTTCAAGGCCGGGTATTTGTGAACAACTGACCGGAATGGCGTGACCCACGAAGGAAAGCCAAAGAAGGCAGTCTGAAGCCAGAAGACTCTCCTGGCCTGAAGCAAACAGCCCTTATAGCAAGAGGAAGGGCGGCTGTTATTGGTTGGGTCCTTCCTCTGTGCCAGTAGTGCTGAGCACTGGGAACCCAGCCCCACAGCAATTCAATGAGCCTGCACTATCATCCTTATTTTACGGATGAGGAAATCAAGGCACAGAGAAGAGAATTCACAGAGTTCTCAGCTAGTGAGTAAGAAAGCCAGAATTTGATGCCAGGCCACTAGACTCTGGGCCCGCACTTCAGGAACCTATGGTACCAGGGTCATGTGGGATCCGGCTGAAAAGAGGCCAACATGCCTCCCTTCTGAGTACCCCAGCCGCACCCAAGCTGCGTCCCCCCATAGACTTGCTCCTCCTCCCTATCGCTTAGTGGGTGGCCTCAGCCTGGGAGGGGGTGTTTTCCTTGTTGGTGCCATTAAGCCACTGCCCTCCCCCCAGGAGCCTAGTGGTGCTGAGTAGGGGCCGGCTACAAGCCTTGAGGGGTGAGGCCGAAGGTCTTTTGTACTCAGAATTCTTGGCCAGCCAACCCGCTTCATTGATCCACCTGAGGGGAGGAGGGGCAACAGGGCAACAAGGGCCCCAGGCTGGGGCCCTTCTGCCCAGCTCCAGGGATCAGGCAAGGCCATTGCCCCTGTACCCCTCCCCACCCCGCGTTTTTAAATAGTCTTTCACCAGGAAGAAGGGCATCCAATTCTATTTCTGATTCTGGAAAGTGAGGAGGGCCAACGTGTTTCCATGGCAACCTAGAGAGCCCCTCCCCCAGGCTGAGCCCATTCCCCAGGCTGAGGGCTGTCTGGGATCGAGAGACCAAGAAAGAGCTCAGTTCAAGGGGAAGGCCAGACAGAGTCTCCTCTGTGAGGGCAGATCTGGGCATTGCCTCCTCCCACACTTCACCTGGGCCCCGTCAGGCAGGCTTAGGCGAACAGCTCCCAGCCCTGTAGAGACAGTCAGACTTCAGGAGGTGGGGGGAGTCAGGTCACTCTGAGAGAATCTCCTTTCCTGTGGATCAGGCTGGCACCCAACTGAGAGGCTTCAAGGGTGGTGGGCAGGAGAGGCATCAGCAGAGAGGCAAAGAATGCCCCATTCTACTGGAAGCTTCGTGACCAGCCAGGTCTCCCAGACCTGCTTCTCCAGGGCACACGTGTTTTTGGCTCTGTTGTGTGCTCGGCAGACAGCTCTGTCAAGTCCCTGGCCCCGTGCTCTTCCAGTCTACCTACTTGTTCCTTCTGCACCCTGAGAAGACTCTGGACATCTCCAAACGTCTAGGAGCAGAAGGAGCCTGAGGGCTCCCAGTGCAGCCAGCCACCGGAGGCCGGAGTGAAAAGCAGGCCTGTTTCCCAGAGGTTCATCCCGGCCTACTGTCCAGGGGCCCAGACACCAGCCCTTCAGCTCGGAGGCTGCAGATGGGTAGACTTCAGATCTGTGGAGGGAGGGCATTCCAGATGGGAGTGCAGCCCAGGTAAACGTCTAAAAAGACCCAAATGGCTATTGTGCTCTGGCTGTGGGCGCTGATGGGAAACCGAGATTCCGAGGAGGAAGGATGTGCTCTTGGTCTCCCAGCCTCACACCCAGCGCTCGCTCTGTGTTTTTGTCTCCTGACCCTCCTCCCTGGAGCTATCCAGGTGACCCGTGAGCCCTCACCCCTGCTTCCCTGAAGTCTCCTGGCCAGAGTGCACCCATTCTATGGAGCCAGCTCCACGTCTGACCCCAAAGGAATACAGCCAGGGTGCACAGAACCCTAGCCCTAGGGGAACTACAGTGGGTGAAGGGTGATAATCCACTCCTAATTCCAGGCTACAGAAGGCAGAACCCAAGAGTGCCAGGAGGATGTGGATTTGAGCTCTAAGGCATAGGGGAATTTAAATAACAGATGTTTAAACAACCTTCCCTGCAAGCCTCGGTGCAGTGACCCCTCTGCTGTGATGTGTTACAGCTTAAA